GGCACCGTGTTCCCTCTACTTAAATCAGGTGGACCTGGGCAGCAACTACAAACGTATCGTTCCATCTTGTTGAATGGGGTAGTGAGTAAGTGCTGGCATAAATTTCTACGGCAGCAACTCACACGATATCTTGACATACTCCTTCGTGATACTCAGTGTGGAGGTCGACCTGCCAAAGGCCCTGCGCTGCTGGTTCACATCGCAGTTTCGTTTATTCAAGCGGCGCAGCTCCAAGGCCGCTCGGCTATTTTATATTTTATTGACTTGGTGCAAGCCTTCTATTCGGTGGTGCGCAGTATGGTTTTACCTCGACTCGGCGACCCAGATGGAGACGATGAATACATCATACATCATCACGACTTGCCCATAGCGATGCTGCCCCTGTTGACTTTTATCCTTTCACAACCAGCAGCCTTGGATGGCCTTGGAGCACATCCTCACCTTTTGGCCCTACTGATTGAAGGACATCGAGACACACACTTCGGCACTAACACTCTAAGCACTGTCGCCAGGTCACGTAGGAGCTCGCGCCCAGGAAGCTCTCTGGCCGACGCGATCTTCAACGCAGCGTTCTGCAAGCCTCTCAAGAGCATCGACGAGGCCCTACGACCGCTAGGTGCCAGCTTACCGCTGCGGGTGGAGGGAGTCCAGAGCTGTTTTGCACCTGCGGAGTTACAAGATGACCCCCACCTCGCAGATATTTCCTTTGTTGATGATGCTTTAATTATGCAGTCTGTTGAGGCAGGGCAAGATCCTATACAACATGCTGGTGAGGTTGCGGATGCAGTCCATGTGGCTATGCTCTCGCACGGCTTTTTGGTCAACTACAAGAAATCCAAGTCAGCCATGTTCATCATACCTAGCAGGCAAGCACCTGTCGACTTGAGAGATCGACTGGATAATGAAGATGAACTTTTGATTATACCTACACGGTGGGATATCCAGGTGCATGTGGTGAAGGAGTACAAGTACTTAGGGACGATGATCAACCGTCGTCTTGAGATGGGCCCTCGGATAGCACACCTGGTGCAGAAGCAGAAGATTGCGGCCATGCCTGTTAAGAAGATGATTTCGAAATTTGGGGGTATGACGAGGCCAGCGAAAACGAATCTTGTTGATACCTTGGCCAACGTGCATCTTACCTACTTGGCCGAGACGTGGACAGCACTCAGCGAGTCACTCCTGCAACGGTTGGAGACACCTCGAATCGCGACATATCGAGTGGCACAAGGTTTGCAGCATCATCGCCAGACTACTAGCTTCTACAACGACGAACAAGTCCTATGCTCTGCGAGGAGACTGCATTTAAGAGATATTATTCGTAAGAAGAGGTTAATGTACTTTGGGAAGATGTTTTTGCAGGCTCCTGTTGTCCTATGGCTTCTCCTTGACCAATTGGCTGGCGAACGTGGATCTTGGGTCTCACTGCTTCGTGATGACTTGGGGTGGCTTGATAGTTACAGCAAGGATAGAGCTCGCGCAGCTTGGACGGTGCGGCAGTGGTTCCAGTACGCCAGGCTGAACACGAAGAGCTTCTTGAATGAAGTCAAGACGGCATGGGAGTACCACGTGTACAGAGAACTGGAGAATGCCCAAATGCAGATGGCAGAAAGAAGTCTTAACGCTCAGCTGGCGCCGGCGGTCACTACGGACTTGGAGAAGAAATTTGTGTGCTATACTTGTGGATGGGTATGCTCGAAGGAGTCTGCCTGGCGCAAACACTTCTTGGATCACCAGCCGATTGATGGAGCCCAATTGGTAGCACGAGGCACGCAGTGTGGAGCGTGTGGCACAGTGTTTGGAGATCGCTCCAACCTGTTGCGGCACCTGCGCAGACGAGGCAACAGGTGTATATCATGGCTGTTGGACAATGGGGACCTTCTTTCCGCTGAGGAAGCTGAACTTCTACGGCAGGAGGATCTACTACGTGAGCGGAAGCAAGTTCAGCAAGGATACAACTACAGGGTGGTCAGACAGCGGGCTCGCTACGGAGATCCTCTTGGTGGCAAGGGTGACAGGCTGGTTCCTGTCAAAGCCCCTGAAGTATGGCTACCAGTACGTGAGGTACCTAATGCAGTTCGACGCATGCAGACTGGCGACCTCAGTACAATGTTATTGCTCAATGTCTTTCAAGCTGAGTGCGACGTTGAATTTTCAGATGCGCTTCATCAGGCATGTGGCCTTGGCATGGAAACATACCCTGAACGGGACGAGGATGGCACGGTTGTTGGACTACAAGAGGCGCAGATGAGGATGATCGTCACTCGTATGCAGTCAGGCCAGGTAGGGGCTATTCTTATCCATCTCAGTGGGAAAACGTGGCTCGGAGTTGGACCTGACCAAGGGCGTACCCAAACGGAACCCTGGGGTATCCGACGTTTGCCTCCCCAACGCCGACAGAACTTTTCTGGTGACAACTCTCAAGTGAGGTCTGCGTGGAGACTACTGCAAGCAGGTACCATGGCCGGCGTTCCCGTGGCGGTCTTAGTGGAGCGCAAGGCTTACGACAACATTCAGAACTTCATGCCAGACTTTGGGGCTATTGGTGCCCGAGTGGGCCATACCGAGATTGATACTTGTATGTTCGGCGCCACAGAAGCCAGAGAGATGATGATTATCCATACACATTGTGATTATGAGATAGAACTGCGTCATCATGGACCCGAACGTTGCTGTCACGTCTACCATGGACAACAGAGCCAAGTGGCTGAACTTCCACGGTCTGTTGGTGTACTGATTGGGCGGGCCTTCAGAAGGGCCCGTTTTTTCATGACTCTGTCGGCGAGTCTTCGCAGGAGCTTATAAGTTGTTTTTGGACGAGTGCGTAGGTGAGGGTGGATTTGTATCTGTGCTTTGCCCAGCCTGTAGGCTGTGAGGAGCCGCGCGAGGCTACCGCATGTTCTGTCGCCTAGGGCGACAATAACTTGGAGGAGGAGTTGTCTGAGTGGAGTCGGTGGAGGAGGAGTACTCGTATTCGTCCCCCTCCTTGGCGGCCCCTCGTGTACGAAGGTCTTACTCGTGCTCTGCGCTACTTCGGGGTAGTTGAACTATCGAGGGGCCGGCCAAGGGGGAGGCTGTGCGGCCTTCTGTAGGGGACGGGGAGGGCACGGGAGGCGCAAGTGGTAAGGCGGGTGAAACAAACCGTCGAGCGCCACCCCAAGCCTCCCCGTCCCCCAAAATTCGTGCTTTGAGCTGTCACTCGTCGTCCTGGCGGCGTGCTACCAGGGGCGATCTTTCTGCTTCCCAACGGGGGGCGCGGTGCGAGTGGGGGCTGCCCGGCGGTGCGCCGTTAGCGACCCTCGCACCGTTGCTCCCCGGCCCCTGTGCTGTCACTCGTCGTCCTGGCGGCGTGCTACCAGGGGCGAGCCTCTCCTTCCTTCTTCACTCGGTCCTGATGATATTCGTCGTCCTCTTCTCTCACTTGCTCCTGTTGTTGTCGTCAATCGACGGCTACAGTGCTGGCTCTGTGCCCGCCCGAGCACGTGTTTGGGAGGAGGGCGGTGTACTCGTGGGTGGACCCTGGTCAGGATGTAATGCTCGACGGGCACAGAGAGTGCATGTTCCTTGCTGCGGCCTCGGAGAAGATCGAGGCATCTGTACCCTTGCATCGCTCGGTAGTCGGGTGCCGACTGCCGAGCACACTGACGCTTCAGCGGCTGGACCGCTCTGAGCTCGGCCAAGAAAAAAGGAGGAGCAAGCCATCGAGATCGAGGCGAAGCGGATCGGAGGAACCGAAGTGAGCCCTGCGAGGGCGGTTCTGCCTGGCGTCGGCCCCCTGGCCCCCCCTCCCCCCCCCAAGGGGGTGGCGCCGCCCCTCTCGGCCGAGGGCCTCCACGGCCAGAGGGGGGCTCTGCCAACGAGGCTCGGGGAGGGAGGATCGGGGGTCGGAGAGCAGACGCACGCGCTCCACCACTCGCGGAGTGACTACTCGCAAATGGCCTGGATCTGCCGCGGGGGGGTCTAGGATCTCCTACGCCGAGGCGAACGTGAGCTCTTCGGACGTTTGCCAGCAGGCACTTTGCGAGCAGTGGAGCGCGCTGGGTGAGGGAGGGAGTATCGGAAGGTCGAGGATCAGGGAGGGCCAAGGGGTGGGGCTGGGGGGGAGAGCCGGGGGGGATGGGGGCCGATCCTCGATCTTCCTCCACCCTTAGGCGGAGTGCGTGGGAGTGGGGGAGGGCCGGGGGGGGCAGGGGGGTTAGGAAGGGCTGGGGGAGGGTTGGATTTTTTGATGACGTCAGCAATGCACAGCAGCCCCGGGCGTACGTGGCAGGCTAGAGCACCACGAGGACCTCGACGACGGCCCAACGCAGCCGGCGGCAAAAAACACTGCAGCTCGAGGATCGGGGAGGGAGGAGGCTCGGGGAGGCGCGTCGCGGGAGGGCCATCGGCGCTCGAACAGGGCCGGCGAGTTGCCTGCCGACCAAGTCGAAAAAGCAGCGCAAGTCACGACTTGAATTCTCAGCAATGCCTGCATGAATGTAAGCGGCCCAAACACATGTCCACCCTTGCGCTGCCGTGCCTACCACGGAGCGGTCAGCAGGAGCTTTGCGGGCACGACCCTGGATGCCAGGTGCAAGAGGGGATCACACCTGTGGATCGCGCCTCAGACCTGGAGAGGCAGGACCTACTCCAGAGACGCATCCCTGGCATGATCGTAGTGCAGTGCGAAGCGGCACTGCAGGGCAGCCAGCTTGGACATCGGACGCATCGTGGGCGACGCGGTCGACTGTACTTAGCTTTAGCAAGCTACTCGCCTGCTGGGAAGTGACACGTACGGAGGTCCCTTCCTCAGGACCAGGGACACGGAGATGCGAATCCGCCGAGTCTGGCAGTGACCCATGGAGGAGGAGGAGGAGGAGGAGGAGGAGGAGGAGAAGGAGGAGATGGAGGAGGAGCAGGAGGAGGAGGAGGAGGAGGAGGAGGGTGAGGACCAGGAGGAGGAGGAGGAGGATCGATGCTCAAGGATCGAGGCGTCCTCACACGGGGCATGAGGGCATGGCCTCCACCTTGTCTAGCTCGTACTCGTGGCTGTTCTCCAAGAAACACTCCACGTTGTACTTGACTACCTGCGCGCAGCGCGCGAGGCCAGGCAGGCTTGAAAATGCGGAGCGCATGCGACACGGCACGAGCTTCGGCAGCCCGCCTGCGTAGTTGTCCGGGAGCGCAGAGGGGGAGATCCAATATACTGGCCGTGCGAGACCTGCCGAACACGGCGTCTGTCAGGGGACGACAGAAAAGAAAACGGTTTGCGTTGTCGTTGCGGTTTCGTTTTGAAGCGTTTCGGGGAACTTATGACCTGAGTTCATTCCAGACCCTGGTTAGTCAGGCCCTGCGAGATCCTGCAGGATCCTGCGCACAAGCCCAGGTCAACGCAACCCTGGCTCTGCAAGATCGTGCAAGATCCGGCGCTCTGTCTGACCCCTGTTTGCATCGACCCCGTCCCGTGAGCCCCGAGCGTTGCGAAACGAAAACGGTCTGGACGGTGGCCTAAAAATGGGTTTCGGCGAAAATCGAAGTCGTGATTGGCCAAAGGTGGGCCCTAGACTCAAACCAACACGACAACGAAGAGAACATGAAGACGATCCACGAGATTACCAAAACAACATGTTGGTCCACCCCTCGCGTTGAGGGGGAGCCTTCAAAGAAACCTCTATGGACCTCCGCGGCCCTATATAACCGTAATGCCGACCAAATTTCGCCCAGATTTCGGCCACTACCCCTCCTCACCTGTTCGTCCAGGTATCGGCCACATGTCGTCCAGACTTCGTCAAACTGTCGACCAAATCCGAACACAACGCGAGTAAAATCCCCAGAACCGCAACGAATTTTGGGACCCTCTGGGGCTCCCATGAATAAAGGTGCCCTGTGACACAAATAAACAGACACAACTAACAGGATTCCCCACCTTTTTTGTTCCACATGTTCTGGGTTTTCGTCTCCCCCCCACCTTTTCCTATTGCCCCAAACTTCCTGGGAGTCGACGATTCATTGTGTCTGTGGGTTTCTTTCCCTCCTGAATCAAGGTCGGGCGTTGGCAGAACTGGGTTTAGTGGAACCTGGTTTAGTCATGTGTACCGGGGGCGCCCCCCCCGTCCCATTTCCACCAACCGGAACTGCCGTCACCCAAGAAAGCACCAGCTGCGGCAGACCTGGTTTAGTGGTTCTGGCCGATTCAGGGGCCCCGGGGCCCTATCACTAACCAGGTCCCCTTACCCGGGATCCTGGCCATACCCGATCAAGGGCCACAACACGGCGTCCACTCGGCGCACCCCCTGCCGGCAGCAGACCGTTCTGCCGGGAAGGATCGCAGCGCCACCACCTGCGGCGGGTTTGTGTCGTGACGACCCCAAGCGTTAGGTCGGGCATGTCCCCCTGCAGGGGGATTTTAGGCGAAAAATTAAAAACATGCCCAACACATTCTCAAAGATAGTCAAAAATACCTCCAAAATCGTCCCCAGACTATTTTTTAACTAGTTTTGAATATTCCTCCTGTAGAGGGACGTGCCCGACTTAACCCCAGCGTTGATTTCTGACACCGCGTGGATCGTTCAACCTTGAACGATCGGCGGTGGCCGATTCTGGGCCACTGGCGGCGGTCAACCTTGAACGCCCGCGGTGGGGTCGCTGCCGTGTCGGTACGACCCGAACCTACCATAGACTCACCGCCCTCTCACGAAAGTCACCACCCTTCCTCCGAGAGCAACACTGCAGCTCACAAACCACTCTTGCAACCGACACGTGCGCCTAGCTCTTGAAAGCCACTGGCGGGAGAGGGGAAGGCAGGGAGAGGTACACGGGGACAAAGGCTGCACACGAGGTGGGGACAAGGATGACAACGAGAGCAGTTTGGACTATGACGGTGATGACGAGGGAAACGACACGGAGGAGCACACGGAGAAAGAGCAAGACGCGGACGGGAGGTGGAGTTGAGGAAGAGGAGCTGCCGATGGTGATGATGATGGTAGTGACGATGAGGTTTTGCGATATTGATGATGTGACGATAACGACGACGGGTGTTTACAACCTGGTGGTGATGGTGACGCTGATAATGCTGCTGATGATGACAGTGATGCCGGTGATGCTGATGATGGTGGTGATGACGATGACGATGACGATGAGCTGCTAGTGAACTGATGAGGGTGGTTAGCTACATACCCGCGCCCGTGCGTCCGTGCCCCAGGGGGGAGGCATGGATTGCGATGCCGTGGTGGGATGTTGCCGCAGGCAGCTGGCCATCTCGGCAGGTCGCGTTGTGATTGATTGTGTGACGACTGTACGACGACAAATGTTCCTACTGTAGCCCGTCCGCAAGAACCACAAAAAACAACCCTGAAACTCCAGGACGTCCATTGGTGTTCGGTGTGGCAGCGTCACGCTTTCCATAGCAAAACCATCAACCCCCCAAAAAAACAAGGCACCCTGGAGGCAAGCAGGGTGTTGCTTGGCATGGGTCTCCACTGTATCACCTGTCTCATCCCAAGTCGTCCTCGCCCTCGTTCTCGCCCTCGTCCTCCTGCTCCTCCTCCTCTGTCCTACCTCCCCCTGCCAGGCCTCCCTGCTCCTGCTCCTCCTCCTGCTCCTGCTCCTCCGCCTCGTCCTCCAGCACTGGGAAAACCGGCGTGCCGCCCAATCTTTGACTTCATAGCATGGGCAGCATGCGTTCCCCTCTGGGTGTCCTGCGCGTTCCTCCCTATCGCGAGCCGCCCGCTCCGCGGAAGCTGGGCTGCACACCGCTGGGCGGCGTGTGCTGTCTCGGGGCCGCGATCGGGCGGCTCGAGGCGCCTGGCTGCCGCTGGCGCCTGGGCGACTTCGGCTGCCTGGCTGCCGCGGCGCTGGGTGCTTTGCGGGAGGGAAGCCTGCTTGGTGTCCTTCCCGTCTTGACTGGCGGCCCCTGCCGCCTTCCTGCGGCACCCTTGCCGCACGCTCCCCACGCCGCGCCACGCGGGGCGGGGAAGTCGCTACCGCTGGCCTCTGGCCGCGGGCAGCCTCCCTGGCTGGCCTGCGCCCGCCTTGCCGCTTCCGTCGGCGTGCGCCGGCGGCGCTCTTCCCCGCGTCGCGCCCGCCCTCTCTCGGGCGCGGCCCGCGGAGCTCTGCGCGCTCCTCTCCCTCCTCCTCCCCCTCGTGCCCCCCGCGCCCCTGCCCTCCCCCCCCGCGTGCCCCTCCCCTCGTGCCCCTCTCGTGCCCCTGCCCTCCTCCCCTCGTGCCCCTGCCCTCTGCCTGCCCTTCTCCCCTCGTGCCCTGATGCCCTCCCCCGCCCCCCCACCCGTGCCCCTGCCCTCTCTCTCGCTCTCTCCCCCTCCTGCCGGGGGGACGCCCTCCCGACGGTACCCCGCCCGGCCGAGCCCCCCAGCGCGGCTCTCGCCTCCTCGCCCTGCAGGCGGGACAGCTCCTCCACCAGGAACCTCTTCGGGGGGGCGGGAAAAGACAGGTTCTCTCTTCCCCCCCCTCCCCCCCTCGTCTCCTCTCTCGCTCCTGCCGTCTCCCCTCCTCCCGTCTCACCTGTCCCTGCCCTCCTCAGCCCGTCTCATCTCTCCCTCCCCTCCTCCTCCTCCTGCTCCTCCTCCTCCTCCTCCGTCTTCTTCTTCCTCACCCCCTTTCCTTCTGAAAAGCTCCTCCCTGCCGCACCCCCACACGTGTCGGTAGGGCGGGCCGGGCGCTTCGCCTAAGACTCAAGCACCAGTTCTGATCCTGAAGCTTCCAGGATGGAGAGCAGGCCGGTTTCAAACTGTGGCTCTCGCCTGGGCTCCGTGCGCATCCATACTTTTTCAAAATGTGGCTATCACCTCAGCGCCGCGCACGCATGACTAAACACTTAAGAGTTTGCAGCAGCGTCGGAGATGTCGCACCAGTCCTTTTTCCAAATGTGGCTCCCACCTCAGCGTCGCGAACATTCGCCTTGAAAGTTTGCCTCACCTTATAACCACGCACATTCGTCTTAACAGTTCGCAGCTGTTTGAAGGATTCTGACGGTTGAAGTCCCAGGAACGATGTTCTGACACTGTTTAGAATTGACAGGACGCGATGATAATGTTGACCCGCGGAGTTGGAGTCACACACAGGGGTTCTTAATACTACTCAGGGTTACAATGACGCAAATTGACTCGCGGCATCGAAGTCCCAAGAATGGTGGTTTGGCACGGTTGATGACTATCTGTGCAAGAAGATATGGTAACCATCTTGCGAGAGAGGGACCATCCAGGGTTCATCCCAATATCTTTGATGCACGTTGGGTTCACCCTGGTCCTCCTTCCTCCCCCCTCCTCCTCCTCCTCCTCCTCTTCGTCCTCCCCCTCCTCCTCCTCCTCCACTGCTTTCCCTTCTAGATAACGTCTCCCTGTCGCACCCCGAGGCCAATTTTTAAGGCGGGCCGGGCGTTTCTCCTGAGACGTCCTAACAATTTATAATTCTGAAGTGACAGCAATTTTCCAAATGGAGACCGGGTGGTTTTCATAATGTGGCTCCCGCCCTAGCGCAGCGCACATTCATGCTTTAAACTTGCAAGAGTTTCACGGGATGAGGGCGGATCGTTTCCAAAATGTGGCTCTCGCCTCAGCGCCGCGCACATTCGTTCTCAACCTTTGCAAGAGTTTCACGGGATGAGGGCGGGTCGTTTCCAAAATGTGGCTCTCGCCTCAGCGCCGCGAACATTCGTTCTCAACCTTTGCAAAAGGTTCACGGACTGAGGGCGGGTCGTTTTCAAAATGTGGCTCTCGCCTCAGCGCCGCGCACATTCGTTCTCAACCTTTGCAAAAGGTTCACGGATTGAGGGCGGGTCGTTTCCAAAATGTGGCTCTCGCCTCAGCGCCGCGCACATTCGTTCAACCTTTGCAAGAGTTTCACGGATTGAGGGCGGGTCGTTTCCAAAATGTGGCTCTCGCCTCAGCGCGGCGCACACTTGTTTTTCACATATGCAAGAGTTGCGCGGATTGAGGGCGGGTCCTTTTCAAAATGTGGCTCTTGCAATAGCGCCGCGCGCATTCGTTTCAAAAGTTTACCAGTGTTTCACGGATTCCCGTGATGGCGTTTGGAAGGATTCAGGATTACGCGCGTGCAACAGTTATGTTGATTGGCGGTGTTGGAATCCAACAAACTTGGCGTCATGGCGCGACTCAAGATCGTCAAAACGCAGCAGTCAGGTTGATACGTGGCGTTGGAATCCCGAGAACAATGTTTTGGCATGCTTCAGGATCTTCAAACGGTTGTCCTCCAAATTGGCAGTTCCCTCAATGGAAATGAACCGTTGTCAGGGCCTATGTAGAGGGAGCTTGGAGGGAGGGTCAATTCTAAGTTCGTTGATGACTCTTGGATTAACACTGGTCCTCCTCCTCCTCCTCCTCCTCCTCCTCCTCCTTTCAGCCCCAGAGGAGCGCCTCGAGAGCATCGGGTATGCATCATCTAGTGAGGGGTGGCATGGCGGCCAGAGTCACGTGCGCGAGTGAGGAAAGGCCAGCATGGCACGTTGGAAGAAGAAGAAGAAGAAGCGGGAGCCATACTAGCCACACACGAACACGCACAGCCGGTCATCCACCCCTCCTTGTCAGGCAAGACGTCTTGCAGACGCGATGCATGGATTTACTTTGCCGGTTTCTTGTTACTGACCGCCGCTGTCTATGCGTCGATGAATTCTGACAGAAATTCCCGCCAGACTCCGCATGGACTTGTCCCTCTTTCCAGCGCCCAGATTCCACGCGATTTTACAATGCTTTGCAGTGGGAAATTTCCAAACAGAAGCCACTGAGGAATCAATACCAGATTTGTTTTTGATGTTCTATGGTTCGGGCCGTGGAATCCATGCGCAAATCCACGCCCCAGATGAAAAAAATCCGTACAGAATCCACTGAGAATCCATATTGCAGAATGCCCTGGCTAAACCTTGAACATCCCTTCCAGAAAGTACAGAGCTCGGCGAGGGCCTTCGAACGGCCGGGCCAACGCCCCCACCGGCACGTGCGGCTTCCAGCCCGAGGACTGCATCGAGGGCACCGGCAGCTCAGAAGGGATCAGGGCACACGTGGAACAGAAGGCGGCAGCACGTTCCGGCCACCCAGGTAACGGTCAACGGTGGATACGTCGATTCTAGAAGTGGGGAGGCGCTCAACAACTAGTCTAGGCCATGGGAATCCACAGACGCAGACTCTCCATCGCCAGAGAGCGCGCCTCGTGGTCCCTGATCCGCCCCACGCCCCGGGACTTATCTATACATATATATATATATGTGTATATATGTATATATATATATTTATATGTATATATATGTATGTATATATATGTGCGTATTAGTATATGTGCGTATATATATATATATATATATATATATATATATATATCCGCCACCGTGCTCGGAGGCGCGAGGTGGAGCTCTCTCCAGATCCCCAATGTGTCCGCTGTTCTCTGTGCTCAACACCCTGGGGCTATAGCACTGTAAAGACCAGGGCCCCCACCTCTCAAAATTCCTGGGCGTTCCCGCGCGCTCCCTGGCTGCCTCGCAGGACTTTTCCAAAGGCCAGAGGACCCCAAGACGTGCCAAGAGGGCCGCAGAAAGCGCACAAGATGGTCAAAGAGGCCTCCAAGGCAGCCCAAGAGCGCTCCAAGACGCCCAAGATGGCCACGGGACGGCCCAACGGGCCCCAAAGAAGCCCCAAGAGCGCTCCAAGAGGACACCCCAGAGGGCCCAAAGAGGCAAACATCATTGATTTTGCGGGTGTCTTCCGATGTTGTTCGCGTTATCGCGTTTTCGGGCATCCGAAGCTCTAAGACGGCCCTAGAGGCCCCCAAGACCGTCCCAAGACGGCCCAAAAGGCCCCCAAGAGGACCCCAAGGCGATGTTGGTTAACGGCGATGTTGGGAATCTGAATTTTGTGACACCGAGCTGACGCAGAACAAAACATGTACGACATCACGAAGCACCGTTTCCTACATCGCAAACGTGCGAATGCATCGAGCGACAACGACGCAGCGAGCCGCAGGAAAGCACGGACCACGCGCTCCTACACTTGGTGTTCAAGCCACGAGCCGCGCCTTCCTTCCATTGGTGTTCCTACCTCGCCGCTGGCTGACACACCGTCAGCGCGTCCACGGCCCTGGGCCACGATGCCCTGCAGAGTACACCACGCACTCGCGCCCCCGAGGCCGCGATCCCCTCCAACGCCCGAACATGTGCTGCCGATCGCCCGCCCATCTCGCGTGGCTGCCCCCCAGCCGTCTTCCAGACGGCGGCCAGCTTCCCCCGGGGGCCGTAGGCGACCCGAGGAGGAGGAGGAGGAGGAGGAGGAGGAGGAGGAGGAGGAGGAGGAGGAGGAGATGGTGGAAAAAAGAGGAGGAGGAGGAGGAGGACGAGGAGTAGGAGGAGGAGGGAAAGGAGGAGGACGAGGACGAGGACGAGGACGAGTAGGAGGAGGAGGAGAAGGAGGAGGAGAAGGAGGAGGAGGAGGAAGACGGGTTCGCCTAAGCCCACGTAAGACTCGGGTACGGAGGACTCGGGTTGGTCTGACGGGGCCATCATTAAAAATGACGCGGCCTAATCTGAAATTTGACGCGAGCTCCCGCTGCAAACATGCAACGAAAACTGGACCGTCAAAATCCAGGACGCGCTCGTCAACAAAAATCGGCAAACCCGAGTTCTGGCTTACTCGAGTCTCACGTTTCCCAGACCATGCTGATGGAAAGAAGGGGCCGGCGGAACGCGGCGAAGCCCTTACGGTCAGGTCGGGCCCGACTTATACTTACCGATACCCTCTTGGGCCAGGACTGCCAGCAACACATCACCACCCCCGTGGGCCAGGACTGCCAGCAACACGTCGCCCGCTCGGCCTGAAGTCCATCGGGGGCTTGTGATGGACCTGTTTTCCACCACCACCGCCTGTACTCCGCACCCTCCGGCCGCCTGAGGCCCCGCCCGCCCGCGCCCTGTCTCCCCAATTAGTGCTTCGCGCGCCCCGCCTAGCTCTTAACCAGAAGAGGCCCGCTCTCGACCCGCCGACCAAAGAATGTTTTCCACCACCACCACCGTAAGTTGGAGCGGGGAAGGAGGCGGAGAACGAGGAGAAGTAGGGAGGAGGACCCCCTCCCGCTCCAACGTATGGTGGTGGTGGTGGAAGACATGCCCATCGGGTTGGGCTGCAACCGAACGGGGCGCCGGTCGCACAGTCCAATCAGCACGCTCCACCTCCAGAAAAAAAACGCGCCAGGGCCTGCGTCCGTGAACGACCCTCACGGCCCATGGCAGGACCGTTCCATCACTGCCTCGATTGAATGGGAACTGGGACACACACACACACACATAAATAGGCACAAAGAACCAGATTCCCCATATTTTTCTATTTTCTGGGTTCCTGTCTGCCCCCCCCCCACTTCCCATAGTTTCCATATTTTCTCGGGAATCGACGATGATTTGTGTCTGTGTTTTGTTTTGTTTTTTGCCTGCACCCCGGCCCGCCCTCCGGCCGCCTGAAGCCCCGCCCGCCTGTTCTCTGTATCCCCCATTAGTGCTTTGCGTGGCCCGCCTAGCTCTTAACCGGAAGAGGCTCGCTCTCGACCCGCAGACCAAACAATTGTGTGTGTGTGTGTGCGTGTGTGTGTGTGTGTGTTTCTTTTCCCCCTCCTGATCGATCCTCCATCACCAGGGGTGCTCCTCATGTCGGTGCCAGTTCTGCCACGAGAGCCTCCGGGACACCTCTGGGTCTTGCCCGCCGCCGGCCCCGGAGCCCTGGGTCCGTCGCCCTCCCGTCCTCGGCAGGGGAGGTGCGACGCCACTCTGCGGAACGAGCGAGAGGGCACGAGGGAGACGAGCAGGGAGGAGGAGGAGGAGGAGGAGGAGGAGGAGGAGGAGGAGCAGGAGGAGGAGCAGGAGGAGGAGGAGGAGGAGCAGGAGGAGGAGGAGGAGGAGGAGCGAGAAGGAGCGAGGGCTGTGCGCGAGGAGCGGGCGAACAGGGCGGAAGACAAGACGAAGGGCTCGCGCTCGGCACCGTCGGAGAGGCAGGGAGACGGGACTGGGAGGGGCGGCGCCGCGGCCGCAGGCGTGCAGGCCCCGCGCCCCGCGCCTGATGATTCGCTCCATCTCGTCGATGCGCTGGATCTGCCTCTTGTAAGGACGATGCATGTTCTTAGCATTCATGTCCTGGCTGCCAGCGGCTGCTACATTTAACGGGCGAAGAACGGTATAAAATAAACTTTTTCGCCGTCGGGGACACCTGCCCCTGGGCGGCTGGAGAGTTTATACCCTTACGGCGGCACCGTAGGGGTACAAACTTTCCAGCCGCCCAGGGGCAGGTGTCCCCGACGGCGAAACAATTTATGTTATACCGTTCTTCGCCCGTTAATGCATCAGGGAAACCGCGAGATGATCAGCACAAGCGAATCATACCGTACTCACACTAAGCCATGCGCGAGCATGACACAGTATCAAGAATGCGAAGGGAAGATGGAGGCAAGTGTACAGACGAGCTGGCCGATGGCGGGGGAAACATACGCTCGCATTTACGCGTAGGAGCAAGACAACCAACAGCTCCCTCTGCTGGTTCCCTGCTGCACGCAATTCATCCGCTTTGCAGTGTGTGAGCACTGGACATGCCATGATGTGCTCCTCTCCCCCCCGCGGCAATCTCGGATAGCGCAAATTTCTTGGATCCGCGCTGGACCCCACTCCCTGGCGCACGGAGCGCGCCAGGGGCGTCGCCGGAGGCGCCGACAGGGGCCCCAGCGCGGATCCAAGAAATCCGCGTGAGGCGCCAACAGTTTGTGTTTACGTGGTTGTTCCTCCTTCGAATGATCTGCTCCCCCCCCGCCATTGCGGATAAGAGTGAGGGGCTGCGGAGCTTGAGCGCCAATGTGAAGATGCCGGCCGCACGCACCCATGCTTGCCGAAGCAATCGGCCCGCCACAGGCTGATGTTCTGCAAGGCAAGGTGGGCGGGTCGCGGGGCGGATCGTCGTCGTGGAGTCGCGAGGCTCGAAAACTAGCGCATGGATTCAGGACACGGGCGCTGATTGCTATATTCCCAGCGCAACCAGTCCGAAGCATGCGGAGATCTTGGTTCAATCCAATGGGGGGGGGGTCGCGACCTCAGGTCGTGGGCTCAGGTGGCGTGGTCGAGGGAGGGTCGCGTGTGGATCGCGAGAAGGTCTCGGATGGGTCGCCAGCGGGGCGCGGGGCGCGGGCGACCACGACCCCGACGACGGCGGCGACGGCGACGACGACGCCGCCGACGCCGACGACGTCCGGCGTCCTGGTGCCCAACAGGGCCCGACCCGAACTGCTCGGCTGTTCCCTCCTGTTGCCTTCGTTGCGACTGTGCTGCAGGACGACCTCGGCACGAGAGCGGCCCACGAGATCGCAAGAGAGGCACCGCCCAGGTCGAGCCCCGGTGCCCTGGTCGACTCGTTGCCCATCGGGCGTGGGCGCCCAGAGGAGGGCCCAGCACCTCCCCTCGGGGCTCCCTGGGCGCAGCTCAGGACAGGTAGAGTTAGATCGGGCACGTCCTCCTACAGGCGGAGTTGGGAGACAAAATGCGAAGGATTCCCCCAAAAATAGTCCAAGAATCGTCCCCTGACTATTTTTTGGCTACTTTTGAATAATCCTCCTGTAGAGGGACCTGCCCGACGTAAAAGTAGAGGTGGCCAGTCGGCACGGTCCCCCTCAGGCCTCTCGACGAGCGAGGTCATCTTCTTGGCGTGTGATTTCGGGCACTGCGAAACCGAATCCGCTGACATGCTGAGCAGCGCAAGCGCGTACAGGCTGAGCAGGGTCGGACGAAACAGCCCTCCGATATACACGGGAAATACCACCCACGCAGGATGGACGCCAAGTGCGGAGCACTCAGTGCGTATAGGCGTATTCCCAATTGCACGCTAAGAAGAGGACCATGACCGTAGGTGGAAGTGGCTAAAATTAAAAAGCACCCACATGGGATCGGCGGCACATCACCGATGGATCGGCGATAAGCCCTGGAGAGCGAACCCATACGCCCCTGGGCGTGATGTGCTGTGAAGCCCCTGTGGCGATGAGTGGGTGATCGGGGGGTCGATGCATCCAGCCATGGGCCGATCCCAGCCGAACGTTGCCCCTGATTCAAGCGCCCCCCGGCGGGGGGGAGGGGGGGCGGCGTGGGGAGGAGGAGGCCTGTTCCCGCGCCCACAGAACCTGCGAGTGCCTCGTGACGACTTCGCGTGTCTGGGCAGCCTGGCCGAACAATCAGTGACAAGCCTGCTGGGAGTAGGAGGCACGAAAACATGCGAGCGATCTGGCCCAAAGATTCGGAGGACGGTAGAGTTAGGTCGAGCATGCCCTCCTACAGGCGGATTTTGAAGGAAGACAGAACCTCCCCATACAAGTTCCATACTACTTTTGGATCTTCCTCCTATAGGCAGGAGAGCTCAGAATCGAATCGACAAGTCGGATTGGCGATCGACAAGAATCGGATCGACGAATATCGGCAGCCGAGTTGGGGATGTTGAAAAAGCAGACATCGGCAGACTACTAAGGCCTCAAATGAGAAATCGGACCGATCCCAGATCGGAATCCGACATCGAATCGAACCGGAAGAGGAATCCCTCGAAATCGATTCGGATCGAATCGGCGGCATCAAAAGGATGCCCTGGCACAGGGGCGTGCCCGATTTTACGGCAGATAGACGAGCGCGTTCCACAACTCGCAGAGTAACTTCTCGCAAATGGCCTGGATCCCCCGCGGAGCATCTACGATAAACTGCATGACAGCAGACATGTGTTTTTTTTTCAGACGTTTTTGCAAGTACAGGGCAGTTTTTAACACATCGGATTTTTTAACACAGAGGATGTGTAATCCATGACTAATGTATGAATACATGTATGCATGAACTCATCGTTGTTGTTAATTCTAAGTCCCTTCGTTTTTGATACATGATCCGCACGCGGAGCATGCATGAAAAACGGCACTGTAGGCACCTCGCGAGTAATGGAACTCGGGAGCGACCAAGAGGGGGGCGCCCAAGAGGGGGGGGCGCAATTCATGACCGGCGGCACGTGCGCGGCCCAGCGGGAGGGCCAGGGACGTGATGAAACAATAAGAGGCGCCATGAAATCTGCGGAAATATCATGACCCCCGCCATGATATCCACCCCCCCGTAGTCTCGAAAGCTAAGCGAGGGCTGCTAAAACCGTGGCTGCTAAAACGGCCCTCCCGCAAGGAAAACACAACTTCCCGGAATGAGGCGCGGCACGCGAAACAGTCAACGGGCTTCTTCCCGGAAGGACGAAGACAACTTCCCGGAGGTCGATTTTAGCAGCCACGGATTTAGCAGCCCTTTCCCGGCTTCTGATAGTCATCACCCCCCTCTTTTCCGCCCCCGAGGAACGCGCTCGGTGCGCAGAGCCGGGCCGAGCGCTGCCGAGCGGCGCCGGGCAGCCGGACCCTCGGGAAACGGGGGGCCTGCACCGCAGGCGCGCCGGGCCCCGGGCCTCGCTCCGGTAGGGGGCCACGTGCGAGCCCTATACCCCTACCCCCCCACGACTCCTGAGGGGGAGGGGGGGGGGGGTCCCTTCGCGCGGGAGCTCCCGAACGAAGCGAGACCCCCCCCCCTCCTCTCCCTGAGAAGTCGTGGGGGGTAGTTAGGGGTAGGGCTCGCACGTGGCCCCCTTAATTAGCTCCGTCCCTGCAGCTCCCGCCGCGGAGGGCGGGGCGGCAGCTGCTGGCGACAGGCTGCCTATATAGGCCCAGACGCTCTCGGCCGCAGGCCGAGCAGACGAGAGGTCCCCAAGCGGTGCCTTGCATCGAAGGGGTCCCAGCGGAAGTGCAAAGACTTAGCGAAAGGTTCCCGCCGATATTGGGGACTTCTCCTCTGCTCGGCCGAAGGCCGAGCAGAGGAGAAGTCCCCGAACATCGGTGCTTGCACCGAAGGGGTCCCAGCGCGGAAGTGCAAAGACTTGGCGAGAAGGTTCCCGCCGAGTTCGGTAGCGGGCTGGGTTCCCGGGTTCCCGGTTCCGGGTTCCCGGGTTCCCGGTCATTGGCTCCGCAGGCCGATCTCGAAAGTTCTGACTTCCCGGGCTCCCGGGTTCCCGGTCGATCTCCTCTGCGAAAACCATCCGCTGATTGGGGTATTCTCTGGTGTGATTATAAAATATCAAAAATTACACAACAAATATTTTTTTAATGGTCAAACCATCGACCACATACATTTTTCAAATTATTTTTGAAAATTCCCCCTGTAAAAAGGGACAGGCCCGACTTAGAGGTAGAAGCATGAAACAAAAAGGCGTTGAAAGTAGATTGGGTTCCGTGCGCCCCCCTGGGAGGTGGGAAACGATGAAGCCGCTCGGTTGTCGAAGTCGCAAGGCTCTCAAAGTAGATTGGAGTCTGGAATCTGGGAGTCCAGGGAATCCCGCTTTCAACGACCGACGGGTACGCGCTCCTTATGGCGGCACGATGGCTGCAACTTGGGAAACAACAAGGTGCCGATGCCGCGAGTCCCCGGACCTCTCCCGGGGTGCGTTCTGACGAGATACTCGAGGCGAACCCAGCGGAGGCGACGAGGGCCTCCTGGGAGGCCCAAGAACGGAAAACGATGGAAAGGTAGCAAAACAGGGCTAGGATCTGGATAAATCGCTCCAGAGCGTTCCGGAGCGCTCTCAGCGCGTTCCGGAACGCTCTGGAGCGGCCGCGGCGCCGCCCTCCAAACCCGCCGATTCTCAGAGATTTCGAATTATCCCGATCCGATTTTGTCCCGATCTTCGCGTCGTTTTACCACTGCGGGATGGGCAAGGAAGGGCACCGTACGAACCAGGCTCGAACGGATCCCCGCCCCTAAGATCGGCAAGCCAAATGCGACGACAGTCTTATAGGGGTGTGCCCTCAGGAAGGCGGGGGAAGCTTTCGGACCGGCACCGAGGCACGGCGACGCCAGACAGACTGATACCAGTCGGCGCTCTTGTGTCAGATATAGATGAACGAATCGAGTACTCGAGCACACAAGTGCACTTAGGGAACTTATCGCGGCAACTATTCCTGGAAAAAGATGTTCCCAATAAAGTATCTTTTCGGAAAAATAAATCCCAAATAAGTTCCGTAAGTTCCGGAGCTCCCCTGCAGCCCCTACCCGCCGCGGCCCCATCGGGCTCGTCCTTGAATGGGTTGCGCAATGGAGGA